ACGGGTGGGCTCTGGATGTGCTTTCCAGTAACAGTGGAATGCAGAGCTTAGCAACTGCCCTGGGAGGGCCTATGGGCCATAGCAACCTGGCTGCAGCAGCAGCTGACCAATCAACTCAGGACAGGTCACCCAAGCCCAGAAGTGCACTAATCCTGAGACTGTTGCAGACCCCCAGACAATCCCCTAGCTCTAATCCAATATATTCCCTGCCCCCACGGTCCCTCCGGGTCCTTCTTGCTCTACCCACTGTGTTGGGTGGACGGAGGAAACCAGATAACACAGTTAACTCGTTAGTTAATTAAAGACTCTTTGCTTTTGCATCGGATGGGGTCTCTTGGTGATTTGGGGGTTCAGAGTTTGGGCACAACAGCCACCCAAGGACCTAGCTTTTGATCATACTTGGGCACAATCCCAGCTCCTGGCTGGTACATCATTACCCTATGCCTGGGCATAGCTTCTCTGGCCCCATTCTTTGGGACTGGTGAACCCTCCCAAAGCTATACCCATAAACCTGCATTTATCTGCTTTTAATCTGGTTTGATCTGGATTTTTGTGACAACAGAAATATATCACCCAGCAAGAAGGAATTCAATTCTAAATATACAAGCACTAATCATGGATGTACCTAATTATATAAAACAAATACTAATAGATGTAAAGATATACATTAATCTCCACACAACAGTAATGGGTAATTTCAAATTATAGGTCAATGGATAGACCGTACCAGTAGACAGATCATACTGAGAAAAGCTAAACAAGAAGCATGAATTCAATGACATCATACATAACAGACATTTATAGACCATTCCATCCAAAAACCACAGAACACGCATTGCTTCCAGTATCAGTGGAATTTTCTCTAAACTGAACCATATGTTAGAGCACAAAGCAAGTCTTAACAAATATGAGAAAAATGAAATAATTTCTTGTATCTTATATGACCACAATGAAATAAAACGAGAAATCAACAGCAAGGAAGACCATAGAAACATACAGAAACACATGGAAATTAAACAATGGCACTACTGAATGGTGAATAGGTCATCAAAGAACTCAAGAGTGAAATAAAAAACTCCTATAACTAAATGAAGATGAAAAGGCAACATACTCAAATCTATGTATAAGTACTTACACCAAAATACAAAATAACCTTCTCCAGGGATTTCAAATAACAATACATATTAGGGACTTAGAAAAACAAGAAGTTAAATCCAAAATAAGTAGATGGAAAGAAATAATATCATAACAGAAATTAAGGAACTACAAACAATAAAAAATTTATACAAAGAATCAATGAAACAAAGAGTTAGCTCTTTTGAAAAGATAAACTCTGAGTCAAACTAACCAAAACAGAAAAAGAGAGACAGAGAGAAACTTCAAAGTAATAAAAATAGAGTTGAAAAGGAAAGGATTACAACAGATACTAATGAAATGCAAAAACCTCATTGGGAGGATATAATTTAAAAACTAAACTAGGAAATCTAAAAGATGTGGATGAATTTCTAAACTCATATGTCATAACAAAATTAAATCAAGATGAGATAAACAATTTAAACAGATTTTATAACAAGCAATGAGATTGAGGCAGTAATAAAATTTAAAAACAAAGCAAAACAAAAACCTCTTAACAACAACAACAAAAAACAAAACAAAACAAAAAAACCCAAGCCCAGATGGATTCACTGCTGAGTTTGAGCAGAACTTTGAAGGACTCACACCAAGTTTCTCAAGCTAGTCCATAACATAGAGGAGGAGAGGGTATTATCAAATTCTTTTTATGAAGCTTTTATTGTCCTTGTAGTGTCTTTGTGTGGTTTGGTATAAGGACTGTCAAGTCCAAAAGAAACTGGACAGGTGACGATCTGTGGTGACTATCAGCTCACCAAAGCACATGGAGGCCTCCAGGCTCACTCAATGCCTGTGGCCTCCTCAGCTCTTCTCACCCCACTCCCTGTCCTCCAAGGCATCGTGGATAGGTAGGTTTTTACCGTAGATACGAGGGAGAGTACAGCCAGAGGCATCTGGAAGAGCCCAAAGCAGGGAGAGAAGGTAACAGACTGAAAATGACCAGTAGACTGGACAGGCCCGTGAGACGAGACAGAGATGGAGAAAACAAGAGAGGAAGAGAGTGTGTGGGCAAAGGAGACCAAGAGAGAGGGACAAGAGAGGAAGACAAGGGAAGAGCACAGAGCTCTTCCAGAATGACAGGTTCTTTGGGAATGAGACGCTGGGTGAAGGAAGCCGATGAGCTGGAGAAATTTAGGACAGGGAGTGGGGTGAGAAGAGCTGAGGAGGCCACAGGCACTGAGTGAGCCTGGAGGCCTCCATGTGCTTTGGTGAGCTGATAGTCACCACAGATCGTCATCTGTCCAGTTTCTTTTGGACTTGACAGTCCTTATACCAAACCACACAAAGACACAGCAACAACAACAAGAGAAAATCATAGGCCAATCTCTCTGTTAAACTTAAATATAAAAAAAATCTCAGTAAAGTACTTGCAAGCAAGATTAAAGAAGAAAAATTAAAAAGGACTGCTCACATGATCAAGTTGACTTTATTCCAGAGATGCAGGGATGACTCAAAATATGCAAATCAATAGATGTAACACATAGCATAAATGGACTCAAGAACAGAAATCACATGATATTCTCAATAGATGCAGAAAGGGTACTTGACAAAATCCAATATCCCTTCATGATAAGAGCGTCAGAGACTAGGAATAGAAGGAACACATCTCAACATAATTAAGGCTCTGTATTTCAAATCTATAGCCAATGTTACACTAAATGGGAAAAAATTCAATATTCTACTAAAGTCAAAAATAAAACATGGGTGTCCATTTCTCCTTTTATTTAACACTGTGCTTAAAGACTTAGATATAAGACAAGAGAAGGAAATATACTCAACACAAATAGAAAAGCAAGAAGTCAAAGTGTCCTTATTTGCAGATAAGATTCTATATAGAAGACCCTAGAGACTCCATCATGAAACTTTTAGATCATATAAACATTTTCAGTAAAGCAATAGTATATAAAATTGTCATTCATAATTCAGTAGTCTTCCTATATAACAATACAAATGCTGAGAAAGAAGTCAGGAAAAACATCTCCATTAAAAGTTGCTTCAAAACCAAAAAAATTAAAATAATCCTAGCCAAGGAAGACCTCAACAATTAAAGCTTTAAAACATTAGAGAAAGAAATTTTATTGTATTTTTTAGAGAAAGAAAAATTTAAAGATAGTAGAATATAGAAATGCCCCACATCCATGGATTAGAATTAATATTGTGAGAATGGTTATATTAACATAAAAATCTTCAAATTTAATATATTCCCTACCAAAATTCCCGTATCATCCTCACAAATAGAAAAAAAAAAAACCCTTAAGATGCACATGGAGACACAAATACACACAGATAACTAAAGAAATCCTGAGCGCAAAGAATTCTGGAGGCCTGAGTGTGTCTGATTGCAGTTATACTGCAGAACCAGAGTAATGAAAACCACAGAGTACTAACACAGAATCTTACATGCAAATAGGTCAAATGGAGTAGGAGATGCAGATTGAAGTCCACACAGCTACAGCCACCTGCCTTTTCTCAAGGATGCCAAAAATACACATTGGAGAAAAGATAGCATCTTCACCAAACAGTTCCGGGAAAACTGGCTTATCCACGTGTTCGAGAAAGAAACTAGATCCTTATCTCCCGCTCTGTGCAAAAATCAACTCCACATGAATCCGAATCCCTCATGTGAGTCACGAAGCTGTTAGTAGGAAGAATAGGAAAAACATCTCAAGATACAGACTTGGGCAGGGCCTTTCTGAATAGACCCCAGTCTCCCAGAAAACAATGTCAGAAACTGACAGATAGGACCCCATGAGATGGCAAAGCTTCTACACAGCAAAGGAAACAGTTAATTGAGGGAACAGACAGCATACAGAATGAGAGAAAATTGTTGTCAGTAAAACAGAGGATTGATATCTAGAATATATGTGTGTGTGTGTGTGTGTGTGTGTGTGTACATGTTCTCAACAAGAAATTATATACCACAATAAGTGGACTAGCCAAATCAACAATTTTCAAAAGATTATGTACAAATGGACAGTAAACATATGAAAAAAGTTCAACCTCACTGACCACCCGAGAAATACTAATTAAAATTAAATTCTGTCTTACTTCAGCCAGAATGACAATCATTAAATAACACCCATATAAAATAAAAATAAGCAGAACCCTTTCCTTTTTTTTTTTTAAGAAAACAAATAAGGAATGCTGCCTAGTGTGTGGACTAAAGGGAATTCTTGTGCCCTGTCCCCAGGAATGTTGAACTAGTCAGTCATTATGAAAGTCAGCATGGTGGTTTCTCAAAAAGCTAAAATAGATGAAGCAGTTGACTCAGCTGTGTCACTCCTGGCTTACCCAAAGGACCCAGAGTCAACTCATCTTGGAGTCACCCTAGATATGCAACAACAGAACACTGGACAGAGAAATGTGGCGTGTCTACACAGCTTATTTTTTTCAACCATAACCACATACATGTAACATGAAACTAGAAGTAAAACTACCCAGAGGAACAAAGGGTACGGGCAAGAGGTGTGTGTGTGGGGGGGGGTGCTCCAGAGGACATGAAAGGACACAGTCACAACACATTGCACATGCTTGATGAAAATGTCCCGAGGTAACAGTGCACCATTTGTAAGGAAGAAAAGCACTGGATGTCTTCTTAAAGGGTAAATGTGTACCTGTAGCAGATTAGCTGGTCGGTAAACACTGACAAAACTGATAAAATGCAAATCAGAGAACCAACCATCAAGACAGGCCCACCTATTTGTTCCCGAGGGCTGTGGAAGGGTCCTATAAAGGCTATCCAAGTGCTTTTCGAGTCAAATTACTTGAGCAAAGGGCAGCCTCTCCTTCTGTTAAAAAGCTGGGGGCGGAGCTTAATGAGGAAGTGGCTTCCTCTCGTCTTGGTCCCAAACTTCAGGATCCTTCTACAGGGAGCTTCCAGACTCTGAGCTGTGTGGAGAGAAGTCAAGATCAGCGGGAAGTTTCCTCTCAGTTGCCTGTTGAGAGACCGCAGGTGTACAAACAGCTACCTGACACCTGAGGTGAAGCCAGAGCTAACCAGCTGACAGCCTGCAGACCAGGTACAGCAGCAGGGGACATCAGTTTCTGTCTCTACTCCCTCTGGAGCTCACAGCCAGGTTGCATTAAGGCCGTCTAACCCAGGAACTATGGGCTCCTGTAACGAAAGTTCTTATCATGTGAGCCTTGGAACGCAGAGACACTGAGAAACTCGTTCATTGGGTTTCCCGAAAAGGGCAACTCTCTCTCTCTCTCTCTCTCTCTCTCTCTCTCTCTCTCTCTCTCTCTCTCTCTCTCTCTCTCTCTCTCTCTCTCTCTCTCTCTCTCTGTCTCTGTCTTTCTCTCTCTCTCTCTCCCTCCTCTCCCTCCCTCCATCTCCCCCTCCCTCCCTCTGTTTTTGTTTTTTATTTTTTGTTTTGAGGGTCTCTCTATGTAGTCCTGGCTGTCCTGGAACTTGCTGTGTAGACAGGCTGGCCTCAAACTCAGAGATCCGCCTGCCTCTGCCTCCACAGTGCTCTGACCACCGCTGGCAAAAGGATTCTCTTCCTACAGAAGGGTTGGATGATTTGGTCTTTTTAATTCTCTCTCGATGTAAATATAACAAGGCGTGTAATGGCATGATAGCTGCTTAGAGCCCGCAGAGATGAACCCATCTTGGAGCAGGGTTTGGGGGCGCAGGATGGGACCCCCGCAACGGAACCTGGAGACATGAACAGTCTGCAGGAACTTGGGCGCTCAGCCTAGTCCTAGCAGACTTCCCTTGGAAAGCTCTCTTCTCCCTGAGTGTTCTGACCCCATTTCCCCAGTCGGGGCTGTGATAAGTAGGCTCAACGCTTTGTGTCTGTGTTTAGCTTGCGTTGTGAGAAATTGAGACTTTTCATCTCGTTCTTCATCTCACCTTCAGAGTTGAAAACCATGTCTTATCCTTGGGGATGGGAGAGAGGGCAGAAAGAGCAGAGACACACAGAGGTCTGGAGAAAGGCAGGGAGGGAGATGCGGACACAAAGTCCACCTGGCAAAAGGGACCCTGGATGCTAAAGGTGCAGCTCAAAGTGACCAGGCACGACAGAACTTGCAGCTGAGCCTAGGGACCTCCCTGAGAGGAGTGTGTTAAGACAGAGCCACACTCAGGCTGGTGGGTTCTCCCTGGTTTTCACCCCCAAGGCAAGCAGAGGTGAAGCAAGCCAAGAGAGGTTCCAGCTGCAGCTGAACCGGGACACTAGGCAGTGGAGGCCTCTCAGGGAACAGTGAAATTTCCCAGCTACTTCCTCCGAGCCCTCACCCACCTGCCTCGGGGAGGGAAGTGAAATCTCACTTTCTCCAACACAGACTAGAGTGCACAGTCTGGAAAACTTCCCAATGCGACTGCCACTCAGCAGGGTCTGGGTGGCGCCTGCAGCCTGGTCCTCCCAGAACACTAACAGACCAAGCAACTGTCCTTCACAAGTTGCTCTCACCCTCAGGAAGGGAAAAGAGACCATGGAAGCTGCTGCATTTGCCTTTGGCAATGCGGCCTTGACCATGATAAAGCTATTGCTGCAGGGTAAGAGAGAGGATGTATCCCTGAATCCCCTAATTAACATAAGGCCTCTGAGGTAGCCCTTGGGATTTCCACAAACAAAATTTACCATTTGTGTTTTTGAGGTCCAGAAGTTGGGGTGCCTTCTATAAGCAGAAAGGCCACTGCGGATCACTGAGAACTGAAAGCATCAAACATGATAAGTTCTCTCACTACTTAAAATACGAAGCTTTCAGCTTTATGGTAGCTCTCCCTTAATTAAGGTTCAGTATGAAGAAAAGCCCACACCATTTCAAACCTTAAAACCTTCGTTGTGTCTGTTCTTTGAGAATTTCACACACTGATGCAGCGGGTTTTGATCATAATACACATACTCTCTCAAAATCTTACCTTCCCTGCAGCCCAGGCCGGCCTCGAACTGCCTGACCTGTCTCCTTCTGTCCAAGCTGCCACCACAGAACCCTGTCTTCCTTCTGTCCATCTGCAGCCACGGTGCTCTGGCCACCCTCTCTCCTCTGCTTAACTTCTCTGTGGTTGACAGTCCCCCAGGTCTGTCTAACCAGCTAGACACAAGTCTCCCCTCTTACAAAGTGGAAGGACTACTTCCGGTTTCCTCCTCAGCTCAGCGGTTTCCCCCATCTCAGACATGGCTCCTGAGTCAGCCATTTAGGAGCCTGTTTCTCAAAGAAGTGGATCCTTCCTCTCCCAGACAGCACATGTCTGCAGTTTGAACACACGCCTCCCCACCTGTACACCATGATGTGTGAGGGACTTGGGTTTTGTTAAAGTCCATAAACGTCTCTCGTGGAGGCTTAGGGCACCCTAATTGTCCTCAGATGAAGAGTTTATGGGACAAGAGCGTCCTGCGTTCTGCCTGTCCTGAGCTGCCCAGTTTGTTTATAGTGTTAGATGGGATCTCTCTGCAAACTGATCTCAAAAGAGATCCACCTGCCTCTGCCTCTCTGCCTCTGCATTTCGGGATTAACTGTATGCCCACCACACCTAACCCAAACTGCCCGATTTAAAAGGAAGCTTCCAAACCCCCCGAGAGCTCCGGGCTCAGTGTCTCCTGAGCCAGCCCTGCCCACTGTGACTGAAGAGCCCACTGTGGCCACTTCCTGGCTGACTCTTTTGCTTGCCTCAGTTTCAATACCAACGCTTTTCCCATTAGGTCTCGGGACTTCTCAGTAGCGTCTTTTATTAATGGTGTTGTCAGACTTAGCAAATACAAGACACCCAGGTGCATCTGAACTTCGGATAAGCAAGTTGGACTTTAGTTCAACTCGTAATATTTGGGACATAGTTATAGTAACATTTATTTGTAATTTCTCAAACAAACTACCCAAATTCAAATTCTACCAGATGTCTCGTGTTTCATTGTCTCTTCATTCATTCATTCATTCATCGAGTCACTCATTCGCTCCATCCATCCATTCATTCACTCACTCCATTCATTCATATACTCACTTCATTCATTCACTCTTCACGTTTGTTGAGCACCTGCATGCTGTTGGGCACTATTCTGGGTGCGCAGACAGCCAGGCGAAGTTCCACTCTTCATATCTGTATCTGTTATCTTCTTGTTACTGGGACAACATACTTGACAGAAGCAACTTGAGGAAGGGAGGGATTACTTGGGCTCACACTTAGGGAAGGCCAGGCAGGGAGAGTGTCTGTACCTGTGATGCCAGGAGCTTCCGGTGCCTGGTCATGCCATGTTTCTTGTCGGGAAGCAGAGAGAGATGAATTACCAGTTTCAGCTCACTCTCTTCCGTTTCCGTTCAGTGCAGGCCTCCAGGCCATGGGATGGTGCCACCCCCCATTCAGAAGGGTCTCCCTGCCTCAGTTAAACCTCTCTAGAAAGGCCCTCACAGACATGCCCACAAGTGTGTCCCCAAGGCGATTCTAAATCCAGCCAGGTGACAACGGAGATTAGCTGTCGTGTCCTTACACTGTACATACTCTTACCATATTTGCATACACAGCACAAACACACAACTCAAAACCATGTAAATCAGGCCTCATATTCAGACCAACCTCACCGTCTAGCATCATCTACAACTTTATGTGCTTGAATTCAGATCTCAAGGAGGACCACTCTTTGCATCCGAGGGATGTGTCTGTGTCTTTTGGTCTGTGACGCTCTCCCTACCTTGGTGTGTGTTTGCATGTGTATGAGCTCCACATATCTGTTAATATGACCCATTGCCTAATTCTTTCTTTTTGAAACAGTCTTTCTATGTAGCCCTGCTTGGCCTCAAGTTTGTGATTCTCCTGCCTCATCCTCCTGAGGCTTACACCACAAATTCATCGGCATTAATCCTGTAGCATTGACCACATTCTGAATTTAGATCATTGCTTCCTTATGAGCATTAATTAGGCTTCCACCTCCTATACTCCCCGTACTTGATCAGATTAAAATCTGATGAATTTTTTCTTTTGTGTGTGTACATGAGCTTGTGAGCTTATGTGCACCACATAGAAACAGGATCCTGTGGGGACCAGCAGAGGGCATCAGATTCCCCTGGAGCTAGAACTGCTGGTGGTTGGGAACTCCCATGTGAGTGCTAGACAGTGAACCCAGGTCCTCTGCAAGAGCAGTAAGTGCTTTTACAAGCAGAGCCATGTCTAAAAGATCTTAGTTTTTTCATCACATAGTTGTTAGGGTTTTTTTAAATCACAAATAATGTCACAGAATGCTCATCTCAGCTTTAGTGATGGAGAATTTGTCATTGAGTCCAGGAGTTATTGATATGATTCAGTTTTAAGTCATACTCTGGGGGCAGGGGTGGGATGCATTTGACACTGCAACACATGTGTTAATGATAAAGCATGGGGGGGACCTTTGAGGATTCCATGGCAGGTGAGGGTGACTGAGATGAAGGGACAAACACGCCAGACAGACAGAGCGAGCGTAAGTGAGAAGTTTTATTAGAAAGAGGAGGGAGAGGGAAGGAAAGAGAGGTAAAGAGACACAGAGACAGAGAAAGGACAGAAGAGAAGAGGGAGACAGGAAAAGTCCTGTCTGTCCCAGGGGAACAGCAGGAAAGAGAGCATAAGTGGGTGCGGTCTGTCTTTTAAAGGGGTCCTTTGCACCTGCGTGCAGACCAGGGTACTGCCTGAGTGCATTCTGCCAGGCCACAGGGGCAGGCCAGCATAGTGCCTGAATCCTTAGAAGAAGCATGGAGGTCACACGACAACTCCGGGGGGTTCTCCTCTTCCATCTTCTTTTGAGGCAGGATAGTTCTGCCATGCTGCCTATTCCTGGCCATTTGACCCATGAGCCATTGTAATGGCTTTTTTTTTTTTAACGCCAACTTGACACAAGCTGGAGTCATCAGCCAGGAGGCAGCCTCAACTAAGAAAATGTCTCTGTAAGATCAGCTGCAGGCAAGCATGTAGGGCATTTTCTTAAAGATTGATGGCGGAGAGCATAGCCCACATTGTGGGTGGTGCCATCCTGGGCTGGTGGTCCTGGGTTCTAGAAGAAAGCAGGCTGAGGGGCTGGAGAGGTGACTCAGAAGTTAAGAGCACTGACTGCTCTTCCAAAGGTCCCGAGTTCAATTCTCAGCAGCCACATGGTGACTCAACAACCATCCATAATGAGAACTGGCGCCCTCTCCTCACCTGCAGACAGAACACTGTGTACATAATAAATCAAGGAAGGAAGGAAAGAGAAAGGCCGAGCAAGCCATGAGGAGCAAGCCAGTAAGCCCCACGCTCCCATGGCCTCAGCATCAGCTCCTGACTCCGGCCAGGTTCCTGTCCTGCTTGAGTTCCTGCCCTGGCTTCCTTTGATGAGATGCGGAAGTGTAAGCTGAATAACCCTTTCCTCCCCAAGTTGCTTTGCTTATGATGTTTCAACGCAGCAATGGTAACCCTACAAGACAGCCATCTCTCAGGTGATGCTCCAATCTCTCTCTCTGCATACACGACATGGCTGTCACCACATACATATGTATGCCGTCTTCATCTGGGGTCTGCGGGGCAAATTCATGTAGTTAGGCTTGAGACCGAGTCACGTCTAAGATTCGATGCTCAGTCTTACGAGATCATTTGGCGACCCGGTGGAACCTGGGTTGGGGGATATCGGGAAGGAGAGGATGGTGTTCCGAAGAGAACAGAGGGGCTGGGAGGGGGCCTGGAGAAGGTGTGGGACAACAGCTGAGGAACTGGCGGGATGAGGGGGAGGAGCTATGGACCTGTGAGAAAGCCTGTGTGGGAAAGACCGGACAGATCAGCTTTATTGGCAGAGAAGGAACAGCAATGAGGAAGCAGCAAGAGGCGTGTCCTCCAGACAACCCAGTGGCTCCTGACAGCCCTAGGCCTCAGTATAGCGAGTGTGCAATTGGAGCAGTTGAGGGAAGACAGCATGCCAAAGCATAGGAATTGCTCCAGAATGTGAAGAAACAGAAAGAGGGGGAAGAATGCTGGTTAGGAGCCCCACCCACCCACCCACCCTGTGCTGCGCTCCCCAAGTGCCTGGTCACACCCAGTTGCCAGAGGCCGCTTGTGTACATGGGAGGAGCTGTGTAAACATGGCTGTTTAGCAGGTGTTGGGCTTTACAAGGCTGCCCACGGCTGCCCTGGGAAAGCCTCTTCTGCTCCTCAGTCTTCACCCGACTTTGGCTCAGTTACCTTGCAGATCCCAGCTGCCTTCCACTAGAACTTGCTTAGCTAGTCCCCGGGTCTGGCCTGAAGCTGCTCCTCAGGCCAGCTGGTGCCTCTTCTAATAAAGCATGGCTACCACCTCGGCAACTCGAAGCACGCACCTGTGGAGGCACTAGAGCCCTATCCCTCCTTCAAATAGCAAAGCCAAGGTAGGGAAGTTAGAGCACATTCTTAGTGTAGAGGTTTGTTTGCTTGCTCTTTTCTTACGTTGCTGAGAACACGGGGCCTTGTGCATGTTAGGGGAGCATATTGTCACCGAGCTATATCCTTGACACTTGATTCTCAGTCTATATGGAAAACAAGGACCAAAGAGATTGAGTTGCTCAGTATGTGAGTTTGAAGCTGTCGGGCCATGACCATGAGTCCCACAACCGAGTCCAATCTGTATCACATTCATCCTTCTCAATCCCTGTCTGTCCCATGTCCATCCTCCTGAAACCCTGTCTGCACATACTACCCCATTCCTTTGTAGGTTGGTCCTGGTGTTTATAGTGGAAAGGAATGGAGAAATGTGCCATTGGGTTCCATTAAGATCACCATGGTTTGTTTATAGTTATAGTTTCTCCATCTGTTAGGGCAAAAACCCAACAGGAGCAGTGAGATAAGGCTAAAAGCCCCACCAAGGACAGAGGCAGGGAAAGCTACACAGTCCTGCACCACACAATAATGTTTTAGTCAACAATTGCCTAATACAAGACATAAGAATTGTCCCCTGCACCAGGAGGTGATGGCACATGTCTTTAATCCTAGCACTTGGGAGGCAGGGGCAGGCAGATCTCAGTGAGTTTGAGGCCAGCCTAGTCTACAAAGTTAGTTCCAGGACAGCCAGGACTGTTGCACAGAGAAACCATGTCATAAAAAACAAACAAAAAAAATTGCCCCTTGAAATTCTATCACCAAGTGAGGTGATGGTCCTCTTAGCTTGTATCAGTATACACTGAGTGCACAATGTTGACTGAGGGCATGTTTTTAAAACATGAAGGCAATTGAGTAACAGAAGGGTTGGCCACCAAAAGTCTGGTCATAGCTGCCTTTCTACTTATTTTCCCTGATTGATTCATACTTTGGTGAGTTTGGAGCTAGCCTGAGCTACATGGTACAAGCTCTGGCCATCAGACGATTCTGTTGTGTCATTGTTGACCACCTTCAAGCGTGTATCCGTGAGTCTGTTCTCGGTCTATGCAGTTTTAAGGTGGAATGTACATCACCTGTCCAAATCTTCCTTCAATTGCCTTCACTCGCTCCTCCATTCGAAGCTGGCTGACCTGCCTCCACATGCCCAGCTGATTTCACCGCCCTCAGAGCTCTTACTCTATTGTTACCTGGAGTTGTCCATGCATCTGTCTCTTCCTGTCCCGGTAACAGCAATGACTTTTCTGACACTGGTTACTTCCTGGCTATCCTAGCCATGTGGGATCAGAGCCAAGGGATGCTTTTTCGGCCCCTCCCCATGCTTTCTCTGAGCCTGCAAAGTAAATGCTCCCACATATACAACACCACGTAACATGTACACCACCATGTGCCCTTTGTCGTTCCAGACCCAACATGTGCAGCACCAGTGTGGGTGACCTGGAAGACATCCCCCTGGAAGACGATGACCCAAACAGCATAGAGTGTAAAATCCTGGTCTTCTATGCCAGACACCATGTTTTCAAGAGCTCCCCAGCCGTTTTCTCACCCAAGCTCTCCAGAACAAGAAGTTTGTCCCAGAAAGCACTGGGGACTTGGTCAACGGATTCATGGACACAGGTGCCATTGTCTTGTAGAAGCTCCCCCTCCAGTGAAAAGCACATAAGCCTTGGCAAGAAGAAGTCTTCTTGGAGAACGTTCTTCAGAGCAACTGAGGAGGAAGGCCCACCGAACTCGCCAAAGGAGTTCCGAGCTCAGGGTGTTCAGAGCTCCTTTGCAGTCGAGCGTCAGGGCCTAAAGTTTCTGGGTGGCAACCAGCACTGGGCCAGGTCTCTCTCCAGTGTGGAGCAGCGCCTGGAGTGTGAAGGTAGGTTTGTGGAGGGCTCTCACTCACACCTGTAGTAAGATGTTGTTTCTCTTTGGGGGGGCCCACCACCCAGTTCCCAAATGAATCAAACACAGAGGCTTATTCTTAGTTATGAATGCCTGTTTTAGCTTGGCTTGTTTCTAGCCAGCTTTTCTTAAATTGTCCCATCTACCTTTTTTTTAAAAGATTTATTTATTTATTATGTATAGTATTCTATCTACATACTTGCCTGCACACCAGAAGAGGGCATCAGATCCCATTTTAGATAGCTGTGAGCCACCATGTGGTTGCTGGGAATTGAACTCAGGACCTCTGGAAGAGCAACTAATGCTCTTAGCCTCTGAGCCATCTCTCCAGTCCCTGTTATCTTCTGTAAATCTTACTTACTTCGTGGTCCCTCGGTTGTCCTTCTATTTACCTTCTCTGTCTGCCAGCCCTGCCTCTCCCTGCTCCTGTCTCTCTATTAGCCATCCAGCTCTTTATTAGACCATCAGGTGTTTTATACAGGCAAAGAATCACAGCTTCACAAAGTTAAACAAATGCAGCATAAACAAAAGTCACACACCTTAAAATAATATTCTACCACATTTCCCTCCTTTTGTCTAAATAAAAAGGTTTTAACTTTAACATAGTAAAACTATACACAACAAAAATAGTTATCAAGTAAGAATTAATTCACAATATTCTGTCCATTTGTAGTTAGCATATCCAGAGAAAATAATGCATTATCTTAGTGAATCCAGTTTTATACCTAATTTACTTTCTATCACATCTAAGGAAAACTGCAACTATAACTACCTAGTATTCAACTCCATCAAAGGCACCAGAATGATATATTATTTAAATAAACAAAAAGTACATTGTAAATAACTTCCAAAAACTCTAGCAAAGACAGACATCTGACTGGACAGCCACCCAAGTTTCTCTGCAATATCAGGGCATCTATCTTCAACTTACAGACTCGTAGTACTGGCAAACTTTTTAGTGAAGAAAAATTAAAAAGACTGTCCTGCCTATATTGACAGTTTGTCAGTTACTTTGCTCTATGCCCTGCAGAATGTCTGGCAGTTTCTTCTGTGAAGCAGGAACCCCGAAAGACCATCTTGCCTTATTTTGGCCAAGTTCAGCAGTCACTTTCCTGTGTGTCCTGCATGTCCAGTCTGCACAGCACATTGTCAGCAGTCAAAGGCAAGAGCAGGTTTTTTTGTTTGTTTTTTGCCCAGTGGTTAACCTTGCCACTATGAAAGCAAACTCTATACGGAGGTTCTTCAATACCCATGATCTTTGAAGTAAATTGCTGCTGCCAGAAGCAGATTTGTCTCATTGTCATGAAAAGCCCTAAGTTAACAAAACATTTAAAATACTATGTTCTGTAGACTTTTGAAAGGTTTGAAGACCATCTATCTAAAATATATATTTGTATGATTGGAAAAACATACCTAGCATAGCTACAAATTTCGTTGTTATAGATGACTCCTGACGTATATTTCTTGATTATCCTAAATAGTTCATAATAATGGCTTTCAAAAACTAGAATTTTACCTTATATTTTAAATGAATTACACAGATACAATACCTTAAACAACAGCAGAAACATAGATGTTATAACAAAAATAACCTTAAATTAGCTTCAATATACAGAAATCCTTTAAACAATAACAAAAACATATACAGTGTCACAAAACTGACTTGGAATTTGTATCCATATACCAAAATCCGTGCCAAGGCAAAATATCTGAGATTAATAGTCGTCTTTTTATCCTATATTCCTATATTCCCCTAAACTATATCAAACACCCATGACCCACAAAATAATCAAAAGCCTTACGTAGCTCAGCTCTTGGCAATGTGTTTGTAGTTTTCTCTAACCTCTTCTTGCTGGCTGTGGGAGAAGGCATCATTAGGGTCCCATTAGAAAAAATGACCAAGTCCTGGGAAGACCGGCTATGATCTTTGTTGATAGATATCACCTGTCAAATTTCAGGAGGTCTTCCTTGATCAAACCAGATCCGTATCAACCGGGACCGAATCCACAGCCTCTTGTTTCCCGTGGAAACAAAAGCAAAACTGCATCTCCAAAACATCTTTTAAGTTCTATTTGACAAATTCATTTGTTGACTTCCATTTTAAAGTTAAGGAATTCTTAAAATATCTAAGCTGGTTTATTTCCACGGTCCCTCTGTCAATCCCAGGACTCTTGGCAGCTGTCCTTTGCCTTTGAGCACAATAGCCTACAGGATCCAGATACCCTGTGTATTTCCCATCTTGACGTGGTTTTTTTCTTTTATATTGCTTTTACTGTCCCTTTAAAGACTCCATTTTATTATTTTTCAACTGTTTGTTTCTATGACTGTCCATACCCTTCTTTCTTTCTTAAGTCTGCATACATTGTAAAACACACTGCAACCTGTTGACAGGTTTTTTCCATCTTTTACTTCATATCTTTTAGTCTTTTCTGACTGCAGTAGCTAACTTTAGACTGATAAAGCTATTCCTGGATACTCAGTGAGAACCAAGCTTTTGTCCTGATGGGAGGCTTGTCTCACCAGGAACTGCATTCAACCTTCCTAGAGCTCTAGAATGCCAATGCTTGCACCACAGCAGGCATTTTTGCTTCATTTTTAATTCCTACTTACTGTCCTAGGTGCTCAGGAGATCACTGACTGGCAGTATCCTACCCACCTCTCTTTTTTCTCAAGCTTTCCCAGGCCCAGTGGAATTACGAGTGCCATGTTGGTGTGCCATTGTGTAATAAGATTTTTTCTCTTTTGGGGGGGCCCACCATCCAGCTCCCAAATGAATCAAACATGGAGGCTTATTCTTAGTTATGAATGCCCAACCTCAGTTTGGCTTGTTTCTTAAATTATCCCCTCTACCTTTTGACTCCAGGTTTTTCCTGTTCTCCTACTTCTGCAAATCTTACTCTTAATCCATGGAAGACTGGGTGGCTAACCCCTGGTGTCCTCCTCTCCTTGTTCTCTCATTCTCCCTCGCTCCCTCGGGTCTCCTATTTATTCCCTCTGCCTGCTGCCCCGCCTAGCCTTGCTGCTGCCTTGCTATTGGCTTTTCAGCTCTTTATTAGACCTTCAGGTGTCTTAGACAGACAAAGTAACACAGCTTCACAGAGTTAAACAAATGCAGCACAAACAAAAGTCACAGACGCCTTAAAATAATACTCTACCGCCCCCCATCTCCCTCCACGTGTGTGCTGAGTGCTCTGCCTCTCCTCCAACCTGCAGAAGACAGGCCTGGGCTTTCCACGTCGCTAATCTGCATCGTAACCATCCACTTTTCCCGGTCAAGGAAGTAGGTGGGGTGAAAGGTGGCTGCAGAGGTTTTTCACCTCTGTGACTACAAATAAGCTTGCTTCAAGAGAGGAGCACAAAGGAGGGCACCTTAGCCAGGTACCTTCTCCTAGGCCAGCTGACCTCTGGAGAGCCTGGCTACGGTGCTTACACCACATTGTGTATTGGGGAGATCACACCGTTCCCTACCTCTTATGGTTGATGGAAACATCAAGTAGACAAGCCAGTGATCCCAGCACTGAGGGGAAGGAGGTTGGACTTTCGGAGGTTCATGGCCAGCCTTGGCTATATAGTGAGTTGGAGGCCATCCTGGGTTACACGAGACCTTGTCTTAAAATACAAACAAACCAAACCAAATGAAAGAGGGAGGAAGAGGAGAGAAAGGAAGGGGAAGGGAGAGAAGAGAGAGAGGAGAGAGGAGGTGGGAAGGGTCATGAACGGAATAACAAGGATGGAGAAGGAGGGGAGGGAGGCGGGACTGGAGGGAGGGAAGGAGAGAAGGAAAGGACAGACAAATAGATTTAAGCAACTAGTTTTTCAGCTGGGCACAGTGGCCCATACCCGCCACCATCAGGTGTCAGAAGGGAAAGAATGGAGTTCCAGGTCAGCCTGGCCTACATAGCAAGTCGGAGGCCAGCTTACTGCAAGACTGTCTTGAAAAAGAAAAACAAACAAAATACTTTTCAATATGTAACTACCAGACTGGAGAGATGGCTCAAAGGTTAAGAGCACTGGCTGCTCTTCCAGAGGACCTGAGTTCAATTTCCAGCACCCACACGATGGCTCACAGACATCTGTAACTTTAGTCCCATAGGACCTAATGTCCTTTCCTGCTGTACAGATGTACAGGCAGACAAAGGATCCATATACATAAAATACACAAATTAAATCTTTTTTTTAAAAGAAAGGTTTTCTAAAAAGAAAAGGTGAACCACCTTTGTAAGAACCGGATAAAGAGGCTGGAGGGATGGCTCAGAGGTTAAGAGTGCTGACTGCTCTGCCAGAGGACCCAGGTTCAATTCCCAGCACCCACATGGCAGCTCACAGCTCTCCAGTTCTAAGGGATCTGACACACTGATACACCAGGCAAAAACCCAATGCACATAAAGTAAAAATGAAATCTTAAAAAAAAAACAACCAAACTGATAAAGTCTTCCCTTGTTAGGAAAAACATCAGTGCATTGAACAGGTCACTTTCACTGTGGGCTTTACCTCCACCCAGGGACCTCTGCAGAAGTCTTCCATCTTCCCATCCACTCCAGCGGGGCCTCTTCCTGCCAGGTGTCATGGGCCTGTCCCTAGTTAGTCAACAGAGGGCAGTAACGGCTCAGTTTTGAAGTGCTGCTATCATCCTATGTTTTTGGAGTAGGTCCTGCCTGTGGAAGGCTCGTACCATTCTGTGACCAAGGGAACTTATAGTTCAGTCAGGCCACCAGAACCCAGGGTCCAGAGGATGTGCAGAACCAGTCACTCAAGGGGCAGCAAGAATTTCTGGAGGGGCACTGCTGAAGGAGACACAGCCGGGACCACACAGAGACCATCTGTCTTCCCAGCTTTGTTAAACTCTCCGAGCGAATGGAAGCATCTACCCTCTAAATCCAAGCACAGCTGAGGCTGCAGCCGTGCCAAGAGCGAGAGGCTGCTCAGGGTCTTCCTCTCCTGCCCTGTTCTTCCCAACATAGGCAGCAGCTATCAGGACTGGGAACCCGGAGGCCCCCGGGACCTGGCTTTGTGGGTCAGTGTGGCCTGCACAGGCAAACAGGAAGTTTCTATAGTCTTCATTCCTCATTCCCTGGAGTAAACGACATTTTCGAAAGAAACTGCTCATGTCGCCTGCCCCCTTTTAAGGAGACACAAGTGAAGAAAAATAACTTTCCGGTGAGGTTAAGAATAAAAGGTTCAGCTAAACAGAAAGTGGGCTTATTGGCCAATTTGTATCCGAGGCTATGTACATAACCATAGAACATAGTTTGATGCATAGCTAGACATCACATCCCTGTTATAAACAGGAAGAAAGGGGAGAGGCAGAGGTGGCTTTCTAGATTATTCGGCTCACTCTATGTATTTGTGTGTTTATTTATTTATTTGTTTGTTGATTTGACGCAGGGCCTCGCTGTGCAGCCTAGGCTGACCTCGACCTCTTGACTCCCCATCCTTAGGTCTTGCAAATGAATGGACAGTTTCTCCAGTCACAGTGTAACACGACTCAACTGCTCCATTTGGCACCAAACGCAGAGCCGCCTCGAGTCCCTGCAGTGAAGTGACTGGTGGAAAGCCAGTGGCAGGCTTACTGCCTAACGAGTCAGCCATGGACCTGCCCATTCCAGCACTCCCTCTCCCCTCCCTCAAGCAGACAGAAAGCCAACTTGTGTCTAAGTGGCAGTAACAATAAGGGGGTCTATACCGTGTAAACCTTCCTGCCCCGAGTGGGAAAGCATGCTGTGTCCCTTCCCAGATTACAGATTCATGAAGGATGAGTTGTACTTCATGCACTTGTTCTGAGATTGAGTCTGACTTTGTAGCCCAGGCTGGCCTGGAACTCATGATCCTGCAGCCCTGGCATCCTCAGTGCTGAGATACAGATGTGACCCCCCACATCGGATAGTGTCTATGCAACCTTGTTTACCTATAAGCATAACTTGAATGTTTTCTATGAAACGTAAAGGGGAACCTGTGGCTGTAAGAGCAAGGAGTATCAAGTTATTGAACACTCTCTAGTGGCCTCTCAGTAGAGGCCACCTCTCCAAGGTATAAAGGGCGTCCCCCAAATACAAATAAAGAGTGAAAATAAAGCCACCATGAGCTTTCTGTCAAGCAGTGCCCTGCCTCTCCCCCCTTTACTGTTCCCTTGCAAGAGGCGAACTGAGGGTGTGGAAGGAGAGCTGTAGAGCCACCTTGTCCCAGCCTCTCCTGGGGAATTGTTGGTCCCTTCTGAAGAATGCCCCACCTCAAACACAAACTCCTGGAGATAGTCCTCTCATGCTAGGCTGGCCTCTTCATCCATGGCAACTGGGCAGCCCATGCAGCAGCCCCAGTATTGGGGAAACCCTCTGAGCAGTTCTTTCTTGTTTCAGCTGTGGACCCCAAAGTTGCTTCTATTGCTAACCGAGTAGCTGAAATTGTTTACTCCTGGCCACCACCAGAAGACAGCCACATCCAGGGAGGCAGCTTCAAGTTCAAAGACAGTGTCCCGGAGCCTCTGTACGTCTGCTTTCAAGGTCCTCAACCTATAGCTTGTGATTCTAAGAAAGGTAAGCCTTCCTTAAGAGTGTGTTGGGTTGAGCATGTGCCAGGTAGAAGTGTATGGGCATGTATGTATGTATGTATGTATGTATGCATGCATGTATATATACAGCTAAGGGCTCTGTACATTGGGAATCTCAGTCCACTTCACAGCAACATGGTGGAGACCTTGAGCTCTAGCTTAAGACATCGGCCCATGACACAGAGATGCTATGAGCGTGTTGAACCAACACGTCCACTCACTGCTAAGACAGAAGAAACGTCTCCTGTGGAGGGAGGGAGGAAATGTCAGATCTAATCGTTCAATAACGGTCGTGCACAGAGTTCGCATCGACCAACCCAGGACTCGTGGCAAACGCCCAGGCTGTCAGACACCCAATGTGTTAGCTGTTTTTCTTGCCATTGTGAGAAAAGGTGCCTACCCGAAGCAACTGAAGGGAGAAACTATTTATTTTGGCTTACAATTTCAGAAGGTTCCCTCCGTGGTTGCCGGACTACATGCATTTAAGCAGCGGAGTGTGGCACCAGGGTACAGCCGAGGACAGTTGTTCACTCTGCAGTCAACCAGGAAGCAAAGAAAACAAGAGGAGGCCAGTCACAACACACCCCCACAGGCCATCCTCAGGGTCCCAGTCACAACACACCCCCACAGGCCATCCTCAGGGTCCCTGTCACAACACAACCTCACAGGCCATCCTCAGGGTCCCAGTCACAACACACCCTCACAGGACATCCTCAGGGTCCCAGTCACAACACACCCCCACAGGCCATCCTCAGGGTCCCAGTCACAACACACCCTCACAGGACATCCTCAGGGTCCCAATCACAACACACCCTCACAGGACATCCTCAGGGTCCCAGTCACAACACACCCTCACAGGCCATCCTCAGGGTCCCTGTCATAACACAACCTCACAAGCCGTCCTCAGGGTCCCAGTCACAACACACCCCCACAGGACATCCTCAGGGTCCCAGTCACAACACACCCTCACAGGACATCCTCAGGGTCCCAGTCACAACACACCCTCACAGGACATCCTCAGGGTCCCAGTCACAACACACCCTCACAGGACATCCTCAGGGTCCCAGTCACAACACACCCTCACAGGCCATCCTCAGGGTCCCAGTCACAACACACCCTCACAGGACATCCTCAGGGTCCCAGTCACAACACACCCTCACAGGACATCCTCAGGGTCCCAGTCACAACACACCCTCACAGGACATCCTCAGGGTCCCAGTCACAACACACCCTCACAGGACATCCTCAGGGTCCCAGTCACAACACACCCTCACAGGACATCCTCAGGGTCCCAGTCACAACACAACCTCACAGGACATCCTTAGGGTCCCAATCACAACACACCCTCACAGGACATCCTCAGGGTCCCAGTCACAACACACCCTCACAGGACATCCTCAGGGTCCCTGTCACAACACACCCTCACAGGCCATCCTCAGGGTCCTAGTCACAACACACCCTCACAGGACATCCTCAGGGTCCTAGTCACAACACACCCCCACAGGCCATCCTCAGGGTCCCAGTCACAACACACCCCCACAGGCCGTCCTCAGGGTCCCACTTCCTCTGGTTACGCCCCACTCCCTAAAATCTCCACAACCTCCCAAACAGCACCAACAGGTGAGAACAGACCTGTGGGGAACGACTCATATTTGGTCTAGCCACACCCGGTCCTCTTCAGACGGTACTGAGAGGTGAGAGCTGGGGAGCGGATTTGGTCAGTCACTGCCCACACAGTAGCAGGGGCTGGCACTACCACAGATTCTAGAAGCCACGTGGAAACCCTGGGCTCAGAGAGAAGAACAGAAGGGAGAAGGTTTTGCCTTCCTTCATCGTTGACCTTCCTCTCAGCTCTCTCTCCCCAGCATCAACTAGACCTATAAGGACGGTGACAAAGTGTCTCCTGGGTCTGTAGCATCACGAAGGACAAGGCAAATGTCCTCCCCACAAAGGCATCAGTCAGTACAGGGCTTTCTCCGCTGTCTGCTGCACATCTGAAACTAAAAACTGCCACACGGCTCTGAGTGAGGAACCTTCCACGCATGCCAAGAAGAAAGAGCTGGGGCTCTGTGGCGTCCCGAGTGTGCCTGGGAGGTGGAAAGTGATATTCTCAGACGAGCTAAAGCCAAGGCGCCCTCCCCTGCATGCGGGAGGGGTCCAGGACTCCAGCACAGCATCTTTCCCAGAGAGAGGGAAGCAGGAAACATGTCCAGGGCTGCAGGGATGGACGCCTGCTTTCTCTCAGGCATTGTGAGTCCCGATCACTCTCCTCGCCTTGCCCCTCCTTCTCCTTGGGCTTTGCTACATTAATTCCCTGGCCTCCCTTGCTCCAGCCAAGATAAACATGTGGCTCCTGCACCACCTCAGAGGCTGGGCCTTAGGTGAGAAACCTGATTCCCTCGGTAACTGACATCTCTCTGTTTAGATTCTGTGCTGAAGCGATGGTCATTTTCACCGTGGTGTTTCCCAAGTAGCAAGTTGTGAAAAAGAGCCATCATAGTCCACGCCAAAGATAGCCACGCTTTATCCAGCTGCCTTTCATGCTAGGGAACTCAGGAATTTGTTCATTTCATTCCCATGCACCCCACCTTGCTGTGGAGACAATTTTAATCACATAAAAATCAACCAAGTTAAAAAATAATGTGAAAAAAACACACAGGAAAATAAAAAGGGCTTAAGAATGAGATTGGTCCCTAAATGTAGGCCAGGAAAATGTCACTCCACATTACGGCTGTAAATTTGGCTCCATGCTCTCTGACAAAGGTAGAAATACGATCAGATGTGGGATTTATGGGGCTGGAAAGTTGGCTCAGCTGGTAATGTGTTCTCTGTGCTCAGAGCCTGAGTTCAGATCCCCAGGTCCCATGTGAAGCTGTGCATGGTGGCATGTGCCTTTGTGACCAGCACAAGGATGGCACAGAAAGGGGATCTCTGGGGCCATCTGGCCAGTCAGCCCAGCTGAGCACTAGTTTGGTAAGAGCTCCTGTCTCAAAAACTGACTGAGGAAGACGTCCAACATTGACCCTTGGTCTCTGCATGCGTGCGCGCACACACACACACACACACACACACACACACACACACACACACACACACACACACAGGATTTATATTTAACAAAAGTCCCATCTGCTGAGGACTAGCCTGCAAAGGGGAGTAGCTATGTAGCCCAGGGCTGGAACATTTGCCTAGAAAACATGAGGCTCTGGCTTTGGCCCCCAGCAGGTGGAGTGGGGGTAGGCTGTATGTAGCTATTGCTTAGTGGCGAAATAAAAATGAGAGGGAATGTCTCCTAAGTATTTCCACTGACGGGATTATGTGCAGTGGAACTGATGTCTTACAGTATTTGTACAGTAAATAAGTGGTAAGTTTCTCAGTGAGAATCCGAGGGGAAGGAGGGACTGGGCAAGGGAGACAAGGGATGGGCCTGGAGAAGTCTGGAAGGGTGAGATTTATCAACTAAGGATTTGAATACTTGCTTCTCTCTCCATCCCTACAAGCACTGCCACGGGAAGGAAAGAAATAACTGGAATTTCCCTCTCCCCCAACAGATGGAGAGGACCAAGTAATAAGCAGAATTGTTGAGCTGCTGAAATACTCAGGGGATCATCTAGGAAGAGAGGTATGCAGCCCCTAGGGTTAGTATGATTCCTGTCTGCGCCCACGCACTAGGGCAGGACAATCGAATTGTGCATGAGGCTCTGACTCTCGTCCTCTCCAGAGTCCTGCCTTTCACGTAGTCCCACATTTTATTTCCCTTGGAGTCTGCATCTTCATACTGGCAGCATCTCAAAAATGAATCACTTTGGAAAACACAAGTAAATCTTCTGGAGCCTCCTTGGAATTTCTGGAAACTAGATGCAACTATGTTTATTGTAAGAAAAGATGTCGGGAAAATGGAAATTTGCTGCTGAGGTTTATCAACCTCCTTCTCATCTAACTCAACCTCAGGGGAGTGTGGATGGTTGCAGTTGCCCAGTAGCCTGAATATGTGTCTCAAAGCTGCTCAAAGGGTCCTCTCTGAAATCCCCTTGCTGGACTTTGCCTGGTTAAAGACTGTCTTAGCAGTTCACCCAGAGAGGCAGGCCAGTGCAACTTAGGGAACCCTTCCCACTAGAAAGTGAGACAGCTGTCCTCGGGTGACACTGAAGAACAAGCCCAGAGTGCCATCAGAAGTCACTTTCTTTTGTGCCCATAGACTGTCACCTGTCGCTGGGGTCTGTCAGTCGGGACCTGGCTTAGAGAGTCTTCCTTTGTGGTCAAGACCTGTTGGGAGGAAGTCAGCTTCAGGGACAATGCATGTGGGCTTCTGCAGAAGGGGAAAGCAGAATAAAATGGCAGTCACAGCAGGACCACAGCTCCTCTCCAGTAACCTTGCCAGACACGTGCCCGAAAGATGGTGACAGAAGGGGACAAAGCCCTAGGGAAGGTATAGAGTGGAAACCAGGGATACTGGGCTAAAGAGAAGGGAGAGGCTTGTGTGAGCTTTGGGATCACTGGCATGGGCAGAGTGGGCCTGCAAGGAAACAGGAAGCTTATAGCATCGGGCAGAACTCAAGCAGCAGTCCCCAGAGATCCGGGTTCCAGGACCAGGTGGGAGGTGAAATCAGTTGGGTAGAATAATGGGAAAGGAGATCTGTGGATTTTTTACATTTATTTATTTATTTCCTGTGGCAATGGATGGGATGTACATGTGCACATGCCGTGGAATGCACGGAGAGGTCAGAGGGCAGGCAGGAGCTACATTCTCCTTCCACCAAGGGTCCTGGGTGTCAAACTTAGACTTAGCCCACTGAGCCATCTCACTATCCCACCCCCGCTCTTGTTTTTTAATAAAAAATACATATGGGGAATCTTCCCTGGCCGCATTGTGCCCCCAGAACTCCTCCTCCATGTCCAACACTGTATGTCACTACACTAATTGAGAGATGAAATCAACACATATGAAAGGTGAAGTGTCCCCAAGATTGCACTGCCGGGAGAGGGTGAGACGGAGTGCATACCCCCAAGATGTCCCTAAGGTTCAGATCGCATCCATAACCCTGCCTCTTGAAAGCACACAGCACTACGAGCCATTCCCACTAGACTGTGGGCTCATGGGTAAGCACCGGGTCTGAGTCATCCACGACACCTTTCCATCCTTGGTGTTTAGGAAGTACCTGAGTGTTGAATAGACTTTATTTGTGCCAATGAAAGGCATCCACAGAGCAGGTACCTGGCTCCACTTGACTCTGTAGGAGGCCATGCCATGACTGACTCCGCAATCCAAGGTCCTTTTAGTGGTGCTTTTGAGCAAGCGTGGCCTCCCATGTGCCTCCTAATTCCCTTTCCTCTCACACCCAGATGAAGAAAGACAAGGCTTTGATGAGCAGCTTCCAGGAAGGGCTGTCCTACTCAACGTTCAAGACCATCACAGATCTGTTCCTGAGGGATATAGACACCAGAGGAGAATCGGAAGTCAAAGCTCAGGGCTTTAAGGCTGCCCTTGCAATAGATGCCATGGCCAAGCTCACGGCCATCGACAACCACCCAATGAATAGGATGCTGGGCTTTGGAACCAAGTATCTAAAAGAGTACTTCTCCCCCTGGGTCCAACAGAATGGTGGATGGGTAAGTGTGACCCATTAGGAAAATGAGTCCCCTCAACTGGGCACTGTGGCAAGTCTATACTTAGGGGGCCCAGGCAGGAAGAGTGAGTCTGGGATAAGCCTGCACTACATAGTGAGACCGTAACACACACACACACACACACACACATTTGTGAGTGCACACCCCCCACAGGCACACACACACATACACACCATACCACACACACCCTCACACACCATACACACACACACACACACACACACACACACACACACACACACACATGCCTTCTCTACTCTAATAAGGGATGAGCAATAAGATTTTTTTTAAGACAAAGGGAACACATCTGGGAGTCAGTTCTCATGGGGTTAGGACTCTCACATGGCAAGAGACAAGGCCCATCAATTGGAACATATTTTTAGCAACAGTCTTCTTCATCCACAAACAGTTACTGAGCCCCCAGAGGGTATGTTGGGTGGGGGTGGGGTAAAGGGTCAGGGGGAAGTAGGAATGAGGAGCTGGTGAGACAAATGTTTCAGTGGACGCCATGCCTTTCCCACAAAGTCTGCCGCAACAGAACGCAGCTGGTCAGATGAGGGCAGGGACACTTGTTCTCACCCCGGGATGCCAGCAGGGTGTAGGGCAGACCTTCACACAGTATTCTGCCGTTGCTGCTTAGACCTCAGCAGGGACACTGTGACACAGACTGAAAAACTAGCAATTGAACTTGCACCTAGTTTTTGATGAGCTGACTTAATCGCACCAGCTGCCTTACCCCTGTGCCCCGCCCGTACTCCATCTTAACCTCTGTTCTCTGAGATCCCCTCACCCCCCCCCCCCCAAATTGTTCAAGATTGACATCAGGCCAGCTTTGAGCTCTCCTTCCCGACTGCTCAAGGTTGTCTTAGGAGGATGGGTGCCCTCTCATGCCGTCCTTGGGCTTCTTCCCACAAGAATGTTCCAGGGACAGCAGGACACTTGAGTCGACTTTAGGTATGGCAGAGTCTTCCTCATAGGCTGGTCTCCTGGGTCTCACGAAGACGCGTGCCATATGTTCCCCATGGAGCTGAAAAGTCTGCCGTTGTCCTCAGTGGCCTCCCACTCAGCTTCTGCTCCTTTCTGTGGTCCCCATTTGCAGCAGGTGTGAGAACTGTGTCGCGTGCTAACCACCCCAAACTCAAGCTGCATGACCAATTCTGAAGGAGGTCCCCTTCCCTCCTCTCCAGTCCCTCTGCTGCCCTCCTTTCCCGACCTCTGTGAGGGGGTGGGGGATGGGAAGAGAGCGACCAGGGATGCAGCTCAGTGCAGTGTGTGTTTGGCATGTGTCAGGCCCTGGGTTCAATCCCCAGTATGGCGTGGGGCGGGGAGGGAGAGGAATGGGGGAAATCAGGATAGAGAATGAGAGGAAAATAAGATGTTGGAGGAAAGGAGGAAGAGAAAGAGGGAGGGAGAAAGACAGGAGGGAGAGAGGGAGGGAAGGAAGGGAAGGAGGGAGGAAGGTGTACAAAAGGGGGAAATGATTTGCATCTGGAAGATGTAATGAATGCTTACAATTAATTCCACAATGAAAAAGACGAGCGATTTTTTTTAATGGTCAATAGACTTGTACACTGTTTCTTCCAGGAGGCTGTATAAATAGTTAATAAGCAAAAGGAAAGATGCTTGGCATGCTTGCTTATTTCAATACTGGAAAGATATAAGTCAAAAGGCTGAGGAACGCTACCCACTAGGATATCTAAGAGAAAGGATATCTGTGAGACTGCAACTGGAACCTCCTAGCCCCTTGGAGAACAATCTGGCAGTTCTCACAAATGTTAGCAAAATGTCAAGTAGAGTCATCAGGAGCTGGGTGTGTAACCCAGTGGTAGAGAGTATAGTCAGTGGCGAAGGCAATGGGTTCGATCCCCAGCACCAATAAATAATAAATAAATAAAAGCAAAATAGAGCTACCATCTCTACCTCCCAAAAAACTGAAAACATTTTCAACCAAAAAAATGTACATAAATATTCATGGCTGAATTCATTATTCCTGAAGCAGAAACAACTGCAGTGTCCATCAGCTAATGAACAATGATTAACAAAATGAAGCTTATGCCGAGCAATGGTATATGGTGGAACCATAAGATGAGAAAAATCTCTGACACATGAATGAACCAGAGAAAACATTATGCTGGGCTGGAGAGATGGTTCAGTGGTTAAGAGCAGTTGCTACCCTTCAAGAGTATTCAAGTTCGGTTCCCAGCATCCATAACTGCCTATAACTCCAGATACCAGGGTTCCAATGCCCTCTTCTGGCCTCTGTGGGCACTCACACATTCACAGACACACATGCATATATGTGATAGAAAAATAAAAGTAAAATCGAAAAAAATCGCCGGGCGTTGGTGGCGCACGCCTTTAATCCCAGCACTTGGGAGGCAGAGGCAGGCGGATCTCTGTGAGTTCAAGGCCAGCCTGGTCTACAAAGTGAGTTCCAGGACAGCCTCCAAAACAATACAGAGAAACCCTGTCTCGAAAAACCAAAAAAAAAAAAAAAAATCGAAAAAAATCATTATGCTAAGAAGCTAGACAAGAATGTCACTTCTTATATGGTTCTATTCACATATAATGTTCAAAATATAAGCAAATTCATGGAACAGAAAGGAGACTGCTGAGGGGCTGGGGCTGACTTTCTTTTTGGAGTGACAAAGGGTTCTAGGGTGATGGGGTACAGCCATGATTGCTAAATGCCACCAAACTATGCACTTTAGCGGGAAGAATTTTGTGGTAACATATTTCAATAATTATTAATTATAAATTATATATCAGTAATAAAAAGCAGCTCTAATTCCAGCAATCAGATAAAAGAAGAAGGAAACAGGAATGCAAGCATTTTAACTATTTAACTTGGCTACTGGATAGAGAGAGAGAAGCAGATGCAGTCTGAGGAAGTAGATGAGTCCTTCAGGAGGGATTTGAAGGGGCTTTTCAGAGACTAGAAACTGATGCAATTGCTGGAGGGTGTGTGTGTGTGTGTGTGTGTGTGTGTGTGTGTGTGTGTGTGTACATTGTGCCCCTAGGGGTTGCATCCAGGACCTCATGTACTAATGCAAGCAAGATACAGGCTCAGGTGTATCCTCCGGTATCTGGTTTTTGTTTGCTTTTATATTTTTCTTATTTATATGTATTTTTGCTTTTGCTTTTGAATCAGAGTCTTCCTTATTTCCTCCTGTTCTGGGGACCAAAGGCTTTGTGCCTGCTAGGCAAGCAGTCTACCCACATGGGACATCCAAATGTGGCTGTCCCGGTTATGATAAACCTTAATCTTCACTCTTGGCCTGAGTTAATTTGGAGAGTGTCAGTTAGAAGACGGAGAAGGCAATGGTGTGCGAGAACTGACTTTGCCAAGACGCCAGAAAAGCACTGAAAACTAAGAGGCACTGGAGGAGGGATATTTAGAACAAACACGAATTGATGCTACCTGGGGAAGCATGAGCTGGGCGTGGTGATGTATACACAATCCTAGCTCTCAGAAGGCTGAGACAGGGTGACAGCTGTGAGATCGAAGCTAGCCTAGGTTACAGAGTAAGATGCTATCTCAAAATGAAAGAAGGAAAAAAGGAAGAGAGAAGGAAAGAGTAGAGAAGGAAGGCGAATCCGATCCAAGGGAAGGTGAATGAGGAGGGGGATGGGAGTGGGGTGGGGGAAGCAAGCTCTGGGCTCTTGTCTCCATACTGCAGGTTTCCTGGGCTCTCAACTAACCTTTCCAGCTTTGCGACATTTTGCCTGGGGTGATATATACGCGCCTCCTGTCATATGCACATACTTCCCGTCTTTCTCAGCTCCTGTCACTTTACATACATCAAGAATGTTGAGCCAATGCTTGTTCAGTGGTGACTTGAGCAGTCCTAGAAGGAGGATCAATTCCATCTCCAAACCCTGCTGTGTTAGCTGCTTCTCTCAGTGCTGAGAAGGAAGTGACCTGAGGGAGGTTGGGTTGTTTTATCTCACAGCTTGCAGAGGGAAGACAGTCGTGCAGGAGAAGGCAGCTCCATGATGTGGGAGTGTACAGCTCCATGGTGTGAGAGTGTGCGACTCCTCATTTCATATCTTGGGTGAACAGGAAGCAGAAAGCAAACAGGAAGTGAGGCCAGGCTATAAAATGTCAAGGTCCACCCTCAGTGACCCCCTTCCTCCAGCAATGCTCCACCCCTTCAAGGTTCCACAACCTTCCAAACAGGGCGACCAGCTGGGTCTAAGTGTTCAACACAAGAGTCTGTAGGAGAGACCCTTCATGCTCAAAACAAACACGACACAAACTAAACAGGCTTCTTCCTTGCTGGGCGAGGAGTGTGTTCACACAGGCACTGCCGCCACCATTGGCGACAACTCTCCCTTCCTTTTTGGAATCTTAAGAGGGGTCTCAAGGCCTTTCATAGGTCAGTCTTTAGTCCTGGATATGTAACGGAAGGCCTTAGCGCTTGGTTTCCCCAAGGATGCCAAACCAGCCTTCCGCACCTTCCCCAGCTCCTGCCCAGCCTCCCCAGCCTATGTTTTCACTTCAGTGACTCAAACTTTGAATGTTAAGGGCTTTCTTTCCCTTTCTCCTCTAGGAAAAAATCCTGGGGATATCACATGAAGAAGTAGACTGAAATATCCAAAGACCTGTCATCTGGAATGTTCCTTGTCCAACGGTGGTCTTGTGCCCACTGCTCTCAGCATAGGCTTCAGGAGAAAATTTAAATGCATGAAGCAGATGAAGCCCACATTTCTAGAACCATCCTTCCTTTGACTCAAGAGGCATGGGGAGAGGCCTTGCTCTTCCAGCTCTTAGGACTCAGTAGCATGGTCTTTGCACTGAGGTTATTTGAGCTGAGTGTATGAGGGAGTCGGGAAAGATCCGTGGTCATCTTACCTTTACGTGTTCAGAACGGAAACCATCCCGTTAGTTACACTAGAGGAAGTGTTCAGCAGGTGTCTGTTGCTCTCATGGAGGTGAAACAATAAACTCTGCACGTGCTTATTCTTTTAGTCTCTGGTACTGTTTGTTCTCAGACTACATTTGGGATAGCCTGGTAATCGCACTATCTCAAGCTTACCTTTAGGAAGATGTCACTATTGGGGTTTACTATTAGCTCTGGTTTGGGTGTGGTGATATATTATTTATGATTTACTAAAGATTGCCTGAAAGATCAGAGGGTCACCTCTACCAATGCCCAGGGGTGATCCACTGAACCTCAGATTACATCTCCAGACTGCACTGCTCTCCCCCAAGCCTTAGAATACTAGACTGTCCTGCTCTCCTCAGCGTGGCTAGAGACTAATTGCCACATGAGACCCTTTGCTTCTTCCTTATACACCTCTCTAGTGCTGGGATTAAAGGTGTGAGCTCTGTTTCTCTTTTAGACTGACTCACTCTTGTGTAGCCCTGGGTAGCCTTGAACTCCCAGAGACCCATCTGCCTCTGTCCTGGGATTAAAGGCATGTGCCACCACTGCCCAGCTTCTATGGCTGTCTAGTGTGGCTGGCTTTGCACTCTGAACCTTCAGGCAAGCTTTATTAAATCATAAATAATGTCCCCACATTTGGGTATAAGCCTTGCTGACCCATTCCCTCAAAACCTACTGTGGCAGTCTGACAAACTTCCATTTGGTACAAACTCATTAGCTCATCACCTACAGATCCCCTTGTGTGACACACCTCCATTCCACTAGGTTTCTGGAATTGAGAGTGGGGGCACATACATGCCATAGTGTGTGTACAGAGGTCAAGGGGCAACCTCAGGCGTTGGTCCTCATGGCCTACCTTGTTTGAGGCAAGGCCCCTTACGCATTGCTTCATACCCTGTAAAGAGAAGCTTTTTCTTTGAGAGAAGCCTTCCCGCCAGCCTGGTTCTAGAGCCGCATGAGTCCCAAATAAACACACAGGAGGCTATATTCATTATGAAGCTGTTGGCCTTGTTTGTCTCTTACTGGCTAGCTCTGCTTTAAGTAATTACCCCATAATTGTTAATCTAAGTATGTCTCTTGCCGGAGAATAGTTCCTGGCTCCAACCCCATGGCGGTTACATGTTGATTCTCCTGTGTTTCTCCTTCCCAGAATCCTCCTGGACTCCTAGTCCCGCCTATCTAGATTTCTATTGGCTCAACAGTGCTTTATTAACAAATGTACAGGACTTCCCCCATCAATACCCCAGGCTAGATGGCTCGAGAGCTTCTGGGGAGTCTCCTGTCCCCACCTCCCATCTCATCACTAGGATTACAGATGTGCCCTGAGACATTCAGCTGGCTAGGTCTGTGCTGTGAATCCAAACACAGGTCCTCACACTTCTGTGGCTAACACTTTACCCACAGTGACATCTCCCCAGCCCGAGCTCTGGGATGTTATTTTTCCTGGAGGTAGCGCAATGGTTGGTAACTAGTAAAATAAATACGCTGGAAGATTGCTGCTAAAAGTGTCATCTAAGCCGGGTGTGGTGACAGTTGCCTGCAGCCCCAGCTTTCAGGAGGCCAACGCTGAGGTGGGAGGAGCACACGTTTGAGGCCAACCAGACAAACATCATGAGTTCAAGAACTTGTCCCAACACTCCCCTCCCAAAAAGTGCTATCTGTTAAAATAAGTAGTAAGGCATCATAGTAGGGCTTCCGTGAAGACCAAACATGTTATCCTACCTACATAAAGTGCTCGGAATGGTTCTCGGGCCGAATTCGTGTTAACTGGTTGCTGTGTTCCCTACTGTGAGCTGCCCACAGCACTGCTGAAAGTGCTCCATCCTCGGCGGTGGAAAATTACTTGAAGGTGTGTGACTTTTGTTTAACTCTGTGAAGCTGTGTTACTGTGCCTGTCTAAAACACCTGGTGGTCCTGATGAAAACCTGAACGGCCAATAGCGAGGCAGGAGCAAGGACAGGCGGGGCTGGCAGGCAGAGAGGATAAATAGGAGGAGACCCGAGGAAGAGGAGAGCAAGAAAAAGGTAGGCGGGTTAATTTAAGAAAAGTTGGCTAGAAATTTCAGCCAAGCTAAGGCCAGGCATTCGTAAGAATAAACCTCTGTGTGTGATGTATTTGGGAGCTGGGTGGTGAACCCCTCAAAATGCCAAAAACATAGAGTAACAAGCATTTCACACAGCAATTCTCAGTTACTGGTTGCTCTTTTGCTATCGATATTATGACAAAAAAACCAAACAAAACCGTTTAGGCAGGCATGGTAGTACTCCTGTTTCCAACACTTGAAAGGCTGAGGCAGGAGGATTGCAAGTTCCAAGCCAATCTGGTCTACATAGTAAGACCCTGTCTCAAAAACAAAAGACATCACTAACCCGTGCAGCACAGGGACTGACTTACCCTCTACTTCCTCCTGTGGGTCTGTTTAAGATGGAGACACTGAAAGCTCTCCCTGTTCTGTCTGTCGTCCAACCAACGATTCAGTTTCCTAGATGTGTCATGCATTCCCGCACCTCAGATCCCGAATAAAGTCCTCTCCCCTTGGAATGTGCTTGCCTGCCAGCCTCCTTTCCCGGTTCTCCTAATCCACATTTACTCCTCCATCCCCCTCTTCCCCTCCCCTCCACCCCACCAGCGCCCTGTGCGTCATTTACGGACTCTCAGGACTCTGCGTTGGCTGCCATGGGGCTGTATTTGGATGCCTTTCCTCGAGGGGGATCCAAAGCACTCCCCCTGCAGACACCCTATGAACTGGCACACGCAGCCTTTCTCAGTGGCGCGGGAGCTCTTTTGTACAGTTTGACTTCACACATCTGACACCAGGCAACTTCTTGGCACCTGGTTGTAGACCGTACCCCAGCCTCTGCCACAGCTTGTAAATCATTACGGCTGGAGTGTAGCCCGAGATCCCCGGAGTCATAACAAACTCTCCAAGCGATTCCAAAATCATACGGAGCTTCCAGTCAGGGTGATGGGACAGTAACTAGATCTCATCTCCTGGCCGAGTCTTCATTTTACTGCAGACAAAATAAATGAAACAAGGGTTTTGAAGATGCGGCAATGGTCATGCTGACAGATGAGAAGGTACATGAGCCCACGATTGCTTTAGAATGTGGCATGGAAAGCATTCTCTGGCTGTACTCAGAGACAGGAACCACCCAGAGCACAGCAGTCTGTCTGAGCACGAGTCTAGGAAGGCTGACGTGAACGTGGCTTCAGTGTACAGGGAAGGTAGGGAGGAGAGTAGCACCCCACGCTGCAGACAGTCCCTGAGTCTACAGATGAGGACAATCAATGTGTACGTGTAGGCAGATCGCCCAAGGTTTCACAATCCCCTGGAACTACTGAAAGGTGCATTCATGGAGCCAATTTTAGAAATAGGCAGAACACTCCGATTTTCTCCTCAGTGAAATGCTTGCTGCACAATGCCCCGTTGCCCATGTAGTAGACAGGTATGGTGGCACACACCAGTAATCCCAGAGCCGGAGAGGTGGAGATACCAGGGCAGGGTTTGTGAACCAGCCAGTGTAGCTGAGTCAGTGAGTTCCCGGTGCAGGGAGAGACTCTGCTTCAAAAAATACGGTGGAAAGTATTGACTGAGGAAGACACTACTTCAGTATTTGGCCTCTACACACGTGTTCATACACACAAATGCACGCATGCGTGCACAGAAAGATTACAAAGGCAAAGGAGGACATTTATATGTTGGTAAAATTTGAAGACTTGAACTGGGGAGATGGTTTACTGGGTAAAAGGACTTGGCAATACAAGCATGAGGACCAGGGTTCAAATCCCTAGAACCTACGTGAAATCCTGACATGTAGCATAAGCATCTGTAATCGCAGTTCTCCTATGGGGAGATAGAAGACAGAGTCAAGATAGTCTCCAGACTCCAGCTAGCCTGATGTATGCAATGGGAAAATAACAGAGAGACTATCTCAAAACAATGTGGTGAATGAAGACCAACACCCAAGGTTTTCTAACCTCCACATACACACTGTAGCATCTGAATTCACAAACACAAATGCATATGCACACATGTGCGCACATACATATTGTACAAACATATAAACTATTTTCAACACATCAAGATGATGTGAGGCAAGGCATAGTGGTGCACACCTTAAATCTCAGAACTTGGGAGGCAAGGGCAGATAGATCTGAGTTCAAGGCCAGCCAGGGCTACACAGTAGTAAGACCCTGTCTCGGTAAACAGAACAGAAGGTACAAGCTGGGTGTGGTGGCAGACAGGAGGCTGAGGAAGGAGGATCATACGTTCAAGGGCATCTTTGATGACACAATGATATACGTATATATACGTATGTGTATGTAAATATTATTAACTACCTGAATCCAATCAGTGATACCCATGGGCCTGTGGCCATCCACTGAGGCATGGACCATCTATAGTGGTCATGACTCCAAAGGTAAGTAACTCCCCCTCCCTTAGCAGCATATCAACTGTCCTCCAATAGGGGTGGATTTTTAGAAACAGAATAACTACTCAAGATATAAAAAACGGAATTAGTATATAACACAGCACTTCTATTTCTGGGTAGATTCCCACAGAATTGAAATCAAAGACTTGAACAGGGTCCTTTTACCTTGATTTTATTATATTGGGTGTGAGTGTCACTTCAGGTATGTGGTGGTGATGGCTGGATCAGGAGTCAGTTCTCTGCGTCCACCATGGGGTCCAGGGACTGAACTCAGACGGTCATGCTTGGGCAGCAGGCACTTTTACTGACTGAACCATCCTCCTAGACTTTGGACATTTTTTTTGAAAAGATGTATGTGTTGTGTATGTATGTTCACATATGTGTAGATACATAGGCAGGTGCATATATGTGTGTGGAGGTCTGAGGTTGACATGGACAGTCTTCTGTCTTCTTAACTGAGACAGGGTCTGAGAGTCAAACCCATAGTTCACCCATACAGTTAGTCTGGCTAGCAAGCCTGATGTGATGTCTGCCCTCTGAGCACTGGAATTACAGGTGAGTCAGCATTTATGTGGGTTCTGAGACCCCAAACTCTGGTCCTCAAGTTTGTGTGGTGCTAAGCTCTGCACAGCTTCAGGGAC